TAAACAGGCTCTCCCCAGCCTTCCTGTAGGCTCCCTTCAGGTACTGGAAGGCTGCTATTAGGTCTCCCCGGAGCCTCCTCTTCTCCAGGCTGAACAACCCCAGCTCCCTCAGCCTGTCCTCGTAGCAGAGGTGCTCCATCCCCCTGATCATCCTTGTGGCCCTCCTCTGGACCCTCTCCATCAGGTCTATATCCTTCTTATATTGAGGGCTCCAGACCTGCACACAACACTCCAGGTGAGGTCTCACCAGAGCAGAGTAAAGTGGCAGAATCACCTCTCTGGACCTGCTGGATCTTGCCCCCAGGGGAGCATTAAATGCCCCCCAAACTGCTCAGTGAGAGGGGTAAAAGCCACCAGCTTGGCCCGTGCAGGGGAGGGACCACCCTCCTTCCTCACCGAGCACTGGGGCTGCTCCCCAGGGAGGGCTGCAAGCTCCCAAACCCACGAGCCAAATGGCACCAAGACAAACCCTGGCAGCTAAAAAAGTTGGTGGCATCTCACTCTGGCCCAGGGAGGCTCTCACCAAAAGGCTGGGATGCACCAAGGTCCTGTATCTGACTATTCCCATGCCCAGTTTCCCAGCTCCAAGGGATGGGGGACAAATGGCCCCACCACCAGCCCACCAGGAGGGCTGGAGATGTTTGGCACGTCCCTGCACCTCCAAAAGACACACATTTCCATGGCACTGGTGGCTCCAGCAGAGTGGCAATGCCAGACCTTTGCTGCTCCCTCTGTCACCCCCTTGGGACCCTGATACCCCCGAGAAGTGACTGGAGAACCCCCCCAGGAGCTGGTTGACCATCCCGGGAGCGGGAAGGACACGTCACTGACCTGCTCCGAGCACATGGAGTTCATCCCGGGCATCTGCAAGGAGTTCATCTGCATCTGTCCGGCCATGGGGTTCATGTTCTGGACGTTGGTGTTTCCTCCTGCCATGGAGACCGTGATGCTCATGTTGTTGTACATTCCCTGCTGAGCGGGCGCCGCCTGGTTCTGCCCAGTTTGGCTGAAAACGCTGAGAAAAAGGGGGGGAAAAATGATTAACCCAGGTGGACGTGGTGGTGGGAGGCACCTCGAGGTGTCTGCTGAGCCCTTGGGGTGGCCCAAGCCAGCCTGGCTCTCGGTGAGGCCGATGTCACCTGAGGTGGAAAGCTTGGAAGCCCTGCCAGTCTCTGGGGACAGGGAGGTGGCTTAACAACATGATGGCTGGTAAGAAGGAGGTGGCCACTGTGGGGACATCCACCCTGTAGCAGGTGTAGGATGTAGGGGACATCCCCCCGCTGGAGCAGGAGGCTCCTCAGGGTGATGGGGCAGAGCAGGAGAAACACCAGCACCAAGAGAGGGATCAGCACAGGCTTTTGGGCTGGATGAAGGGTTAGTCAGATGCGAGGCACTGGTCTACATGACACCAAGTTCACCCCTTCACTCCAGTGTCCTCCTTGTCGCCCAACTTCTGCTCCAGGAGGAGCAGGAGGACAGTTCTCCATTGCCAAGACAAGGTGAAGCATCCCACCTCCACCACAGCTCCCATCTCATCCCACCCAGCCCAGTAACCTCCTGCTCCATACTGCTTGACTGGGACTGAGCTACCTTCACAGAGCCAAGACACAAAGCAAGGTGGCCCCAAGGTGAGCTTTTGGGGTGTTTTTTTCCTCATTTCTGGAGATCTGAAGCTCAAATCTGACTCATGAAAAAAAAGGCAAGGGATCTGGTGACTCTTCTCGTTTGCTTCCCTACGTCAGAGCTGGACACATCTTAAGAGGGTCACGCAGTGACCTGGGACTGCTGGACTTGACTCAATTTATTGTTATGTTTCCTAAGGTCACCTTCACAAGATGTAATTAAGCCACTTGTTTAATTAAAAGACTGCTTCATGGCTTACTCAACACACGTCCTCATTCTTTTAAATGCTGTGGGCCTCTGGCTGCCTCCGAGGTGAAGACAAAGGGTTGATGGTGACTTCTGGAGGACGTCACGGTGTAAGGACATGGCCTGAGCTCACGTGTCCTCAGCCAGGTGTCACCTACGGGCACTGCCAACCCCCTACCATCACCCTGGTGCCACCTTGCTGTCCTCCTTCCCGTGTGCTCCGGGTGATGCCCACCATGATCTTACTTGCTGTTGCCCATGGCTCCTTGCTGCCAGGTCTTCATGTCAGGTGACTGGTAGCCCGGTGTGGGTGGGGCGGGCTGCAGCATGGGGCTTTGCGACGGCGGGAGTTGGGGTGACATCAAGGGGCTGCTGGGGCTGAGCGACGGGGCGAAGGCGGGTTCGCTTTGCTGACCCATGCCTGAGGGAGGACAGATGGTATCAGTGGTGCCCAGACCCTCCACCAGCACCCCCAGTTCCCTCCTCCCCCCGCCCGAGCAACCGCTGGCATCAAACAGAATCACAGAATCACAGAATCTTCTAGGTTGGAAGGGACCTTAAAGATCATCTTGTCCAACCGTCAACCCAACTGACAAAAATAGACACCCACACAACAAACAAGGAGCATCACCATCACTAAACCAGACCTCCCAGCACTACATCAACCTGTCTTTTGAACACCTCCAGGGATGGGGCCTCAACCACCTCCCTGGGCAGCCCATTCCAATGGCTGATGACCCTTTCAGTGAAATTTTTTTTCCTAATATCCAGCCTGAACCTCCCCTGGTGCAACTTGAGGCCATTTCCTCTCGTCCTGTCGCCTGTGACTTGAGAAAAGAGACCGACCCCCACCTCTCTACACCCTCCTTTCAGGGAGTTGTAGAGAGCAATAAGGTCTCCCCTCAGCCTCCTCTTCTCCAGGCTGAACACCCCCAGCTCCCTCAGCCTCTCCTCATAAGACTTATTCTCCAGACCCCTCACCATCTTTGTCGCCCTTCTCTGGACCCGCTCCAGCACCTCAATGTCTTTTTTATGGTAGGGGGCCCAAAACTGGACACAGTACTCAAGGTGAGGCCTCACCAGAAGCATCAGCTTCCACTTTTGGTCTCAGGGTCTCTGGTTTTTTGAATTTTGAGCAGCTGTTATCGTTCAAACGCAAATATTTCAGGGATGAAAGAGCGGGGAAACCCCCCTCAAGTGGTTTCCATCAGCAGAAGTTTCCTCTTTAGCATCGCACCTGGCTGGAAAACAGCCAGGGTAATGATGAGAAGGTGCCCAAGGAGGTTCCTGCAGGGCTACTGCAGCCACACAGGGGTTTTCTCTACTCATCAGTGATGTCCACCTCGCTGAGACCCTCAGTGTGAAGTCCTCCAAGATGGTGCCCATCTATAGGCAACTCTGCACCATCTCACCCATCTCATACATGAGGGGAGATTTGAGATGAGATCTGGGGGAGAAATTGTTCACACTGAGGGTGGTAAGAGCCTGGCCCAGGTTGCCCCGAGAAGCTGTGGCTGCCCCATCCCTGGAGGGGTTGAAGGGCAGGTTGGAGGGGGCTTGGAGCAACCTGGTGTGGTGGGAGGTGTCCCTGCCCAGGGCAGGGGGTGGCACTGGACAATCTTTAAGGTCTCTTCCCACCCAAACCATTCTATGAGTCTATAAGGTGCCTGCAGCTCATCCCAGCCATCTCAGGAGGCCTTCAGCCTTTTTCAGACTGTGTATATTTAAGGAAGCACAATTTTGGGGACTGCCTCGCAGTTCCGTTTTCGAGGAAAGAATTCAAGAATAATTTGCCCAAATGATACCTTTATATTTTTGGAGATTCAACCACAAAAGGTCTCCCCCTTTGAGAGGTGGAGACCAGAGACCGGACCAGTTTGTGGGTTGGGTGAGATGCCTGAGGAGGAAGCCCCAGCTCATCCCTGCCCTCCTCCTCTCCCTCCCCACCGCTGGATCATAGAATAGAATCATAGAATCATTGAGGTTGGAAGAGACCCTTGGGATCATCAAGTCCAACCATCTCCCCTACTCTACAAAGTCCTCCCCTACACCATGTCCCTCAGTACCCCATCTAAACGTCCCTTGAACACAGCCAGGGATGGTGACTCCCCCCCCTCCCTGGGCAGCCTATTCCAATGCCCGACCACTCTTTCGGTGAAAAATTCCTTCCTAAAGTTCAAGGAATGGATGGTTCAATGGATGGTTCTCCCAACGCTCAACCGCTCAACGTACCTGATCCTGAATACTGAAAGATGTTCTGCTGCATCTGGGGGGTCATCCCGGCGCCGAACTGCCCCCCGACGCCGCCCATCATGCCCCGGTTCACCATGGTGCCGCGGTTCGCCAGCGCCGCCTCGGGGTTGGAGGCCAAGGGCGAGAAGGGACTGGTGGAGGTGGGTGGGTTTCCTGGGGTCGTACCGTAGTTTGGGGGGTAAGGGAACTGCTGGGGGGGAGCTTGGGGCAAACGAGCTGCTCCCATCTGGACGGGGAGCCCGGCGGAGGGAGGGAGGTTGTTGCCGAAGCTTTGCTGTCTCATCAGGATGGCTCGTTGCTGCATCAGCTGCCGCTGCCGGTGCTGCTGGCTGTAGAGCTCGCGCTGGCGCTGGGCGAGCATCTGGGCGTTGAGGGGAGGCTGTGGGGAAAGAGAGACACTGGTTGAGACCCCACCTCGAGTACTGTGTCCAGTTTTGGGCCCCCTACCACAAGAGGGACGTTGAGGTGCTGGAGCGGGTCCAGAGAAGGGCAACGAAGCTGGTGAGGGGTCTGGAGCACAAGTCTTACGAGGAGAGGCTGAGGGAGCTGGGGGTGTTCAGTCTGGGGAAGAGGAGACTGAGGGGAGACCTTATCGCTCTGTAGAGGTGGGGCTCGGTCTCTTCTCCCAAGTTACAGATGACAGGACAAGGGATAACGGCTTCAAGTTACGCCAGGGGAAGTTCAGGTTGGATATTAGGAAACATTTCTTTACTGAAAGGGTTATCAGGCATTGGAATGGGCTGCCCAGGGAGGTGGTGGAGTCACCATCCCTGGAGGGATTTAAGAAACGTGTAGACATGGTTCTTCAGGGCATGCTCTAGTGCCCAAGATTACTGGTTTGTGGTGGGGTGCTGTGTGGGTGGGTGATGGTTTTTGGTTTGGTGGTTGTTGTTGCGTGTTTAGGTGGTGGGTGGTGGTTTGTGGTTTTTGTGGGGGTTGGTTTTTTTTTGATTTTTTTTGTTGTTGTTGTTGGTTGGACTCGATGATCTCTGAGGTCCCTTCCAACCACTACGATTCTGTGAGAAGAGGGGTGGGGAGATGCCCCGGGTTATCACCATTACCCTCCGGTGAGCAACCAGCTCAGAGCCGTGGGTGCTCCCCTTCCCCGGCTCGGTTTGCAAGGAAAGCTGGAAAAATAATCATAGAATCATAGAATGATTCCACCTGGTTGTCCTGGTTCACCGGGAAGCCCAGGCAACGTGAGGGGAATGCTTTGCCACCACACTTCACAGAATCTTCTAGGTTGGGAGGGACCTCAAAGATCATCTTGTCCAACCGTCAACCCAACTGACAAAAATAGACACCCACACAACAAACAAGGAGCATCATCACTAAACCAGACCTCCCGCTTGTCCCAAAATGCAGTGTCTAAAGTAAGAGCGAGGTGGGAGGACCTACAGCAATGCCTGGCTTGTAATCAAGGAGCATCATCACTAAACCAGACCTCCCACTTGTCCCAAAATGCAGTGTCTAAAGGAAGAGCGAGGTGGAAGGACCTAGGGCAATGCCTGGCTTGGGACAGGACAAGGGGTGATGGCTTTAAACCAAAAGAGGGGAAACTCAGACTAGATATTAGGGAGAAGTTTTTCACTGAGGGGGGTAAAACCCTTGGCCCAGGTTGCCCAGAGAGACGGTGGTTGCCCCATCCCTGGAACCATTCCAGGTCAGGTTGGACAGGGCTTCAAGCAACCTGGTCTAGTTGAAGATAGAATCATAGAATGGTTTGGGTTGGAAGGGACCTCAAGGATCATCTAGTTCCAACTCCCCTGCCATGGGCAGGGACACCTCCCACTAGAGCAGGTTGCTCAAGGCCACATCCAGCCTGGCCTTGAACACTTCCAGGGATGGGGCATCCACAACTTCCCTGGGCAACCTGTTCCAGTGTCTTGAAAAAGCCCTGGAATGCTGTAAATCAGCCCGTTGGCATCGCCGCAGGGCAGGGCGGGGTGGAGATATTAAAGATCAGCCTCTGCACCTGCTGAATGGCAAAGCTCCAGGAGCTGGAGCATCCTCAAGTGTCACCAGGGGAGATTTAGGATGGATATTAGGGAACATTTCTTCCCCAAAAGGGTTGTGAAGCCTTGGCAGAGGCTGCCCAGGGCAGTGGTGGAGTCCCCATCCCTGGAGGGATTTCAAAGCCGGGCAGACGTGGTGCTGAGGGACATGGGTCAGTGGTGGGTTTGTCAGTGGTGGGTTGATGGTTGGACTCGATGAGCTGAAAGGTCTTTTCCAACCAAACCGACTCTATGATTCCTTCAGACCCATCACACTCCAGGTGCTGAGGGACATGGGTCAGTGGTGGGTTTGGCAGTGGAGGGTTCATGGTTGGACTCAATGGTCTGAAATTGTCCAACCTGGACAATTCTATGATTCTATGATCCCCTGAGCCGGGAAAGGAGGCTCTCAGGTCACCTGGCTGCCACCAACCACCCCTCTCCTCTGTGGGACCTGCTTCTTCCACCCTCACTGGGACGCTCCCATGTGCCAGAGCCCAGGATCCCTGACCTCAGCTCTTTTGGCCGCGAGCTGTTAAAAAACCCTCATCCTATGAGCTCTTCCATGACCATGGGCTCATTCCCCATATGGAATTGTTGGAATTAATCACCTTAAGAAGCCTGACAAAACCATCAGTGGCTGAAATCGGAGCTACAAAGGGAGCTCCTACATCCCCTTCCCTGTCACTAACGCTCCCCACGGCACATTCGGGATGTTGCGCCACTTCCCGAAAAGGCAAAGGCTCCTCCAAGAAATGGAATAAAGTCACCAGAAGCCAGCTATGCTTTCCAGCTTCTCCTCGTACCCAACAGATGTTTCATCCACTTTATTAGAAGCCCAAGAAGAACTTTAGGGCCTGGGGATTTGCAGCATCGATAAGGAGAGTTACCGGAGATTCCGGTATTTAAAGGATGGCATCTATTTCCTAAAAATCCCTCTCAATGAAATGCTTTAGCTCATCCTTCTCTTAAGCAATAATGAAGTATTTTGACCTTGAGGAGGTGGAGGAGCTGGAATAATTGTGAAACAACAAAAAAACCCCACAGCAGCTCATCTTGGAGCCACCTTTCTGCAGGTGGGAGAGTTCTTCTCTCCCATGAATGACAGAGGGGAACCAGGGAGGGTGCAGGGATCAACCCCCCCAGTTTTAGAATCATAGAAAGGTCCAGGCTGGAAGGGACCTCCAAAGGTCATCTAGTCCGACCTCCCCACAGTCAGCAGGGACACCCCCCATGCCCAGCCCGGGGGGGGGGACCGTGGCACATCCCCCTCACCTGCGGCGTGATCTGCTGCTGCATCCCCGCCCGCATGTTGATGCCCACGGGGGAATTGGCTGCAAACTGGTTGAGGATCGCTTGTCGGTTCTGATGGATCAGCTGGAGGGGAGAAAAGAAATAAAAAAATCCAAGGAGACCTTCAAAACTCTGATCCAGGAGCTTCCCACCCCATCCCACCCCTTCCAATTGGGATGGCTGGGCTGCAGGCAGGAGGGAGGGTCCCCCCCTAATAAAAAAATCCAAGGAGACCTTCAAAACTCCAATCCAGGAGCTTCCCACCCCATCCCACCCCTTCTGATCAGGACGGCTGGGCTGCCCCCCCTAATAAAAAAATCCAAGGAGACCTTCAAAACTCCAATCCAGGAGCTTCCCACCCGTCCCACCCCTTCCAATTGGGATGGCTGGGCTGCAGGCAGGAGGGAGGGTCCCCCCCTAATACAAAAATCCAAGGAGACCTTCAAAACTCCGATCCAGGAGCTTCCCACCCATCCCACCCCTTCCAATCGGGATGGCTGGGCTGCCCCCCCAATAAAAAAATCCAAGGAGACCTTCAAAACTCCGATCCAGGAGCTTCCCACCCATCCCACCCCTTCCAATCGGGATGGCTGGGCTGCCCCCCCAATAAAAAAATCCAAGGAGACCTTCAAAACTCTGATCCAGGAGCTTCTCACCCGTCCCATCCCTTCCAATTGGGATGGCTGGGCTGCCCCCCCAATAAAAAAATCCAAGGAGACCTTCAAAACTCCAATCCAGGAGCTTCCCACCCCATCCCACCCCTTCCGATCGGGATGGCTGGGCTCCAGGCAGGAGGGAGGGTCCCTCCATCCCCGCAGCCCCGGGATGGGGAGGAAGGGGAAGAATGAATTACCTGCTGCTGCCCCTGCAGCCGCTGCTGCAGCTGAAGTCGCAGCTGGTTGGGGGCCGTGGGGGGTCTGTTGAGGGTCTGCCGGGGTTGCATGGCCATGTTGGTGGGGAAGGCGCCGCGGGGCGGGGGTACCTGCACCGGCACCGGGCCGAAGGAGGGCTTCTGCCTGACCATGCCGGGGAAGGCGCCGGGGAGGTTGGTGGTGGGAGAGGCTGAGGAGTAAGGCTGGGGGTACATGCCGGGTTTCTGCTCCATCATGAGAGGTGGGGTGGCTTGTTGGGGCTGGAACCGCTCCGTCAGGGCTTCCAGCCCACCGCCCTGGAAAAGGAGGGAGGAAAAAATCACTTTGGAGCTCCACCAGGCACCCGACCCTTCCCAGGAGAGCTCGGAGGGGATGGAGGACATGTCCAGTATGGACCAGCTCATCAGGATGCTGCTGCTTGTCACCCTCACCCCTGGGCCAGGCTCCAGCCCATGTGAACTCTGTCAGGAAGGGCATTAAACATCCCATCCCCAGGGCTTAGCAAACCTTACAGGGTTGAAAATTATTTTTTTGGGCTTGTTTGGGAGCAAAGACCAAGTTCAGGCTTTTCTGGAGGGCTCAGGGCTCATCCCCCTGGGGGGTGCAGGTGATGCTGCCTTCCTCTGCCTCCTCTGCCTCCCTGGTTGGACAGACCTGAATGCAGGAAACAGTTTGTGCTCTCTTTCCTTTCCTATTTTTATGCAGCCTCGGAGGCTTGGCTGGAGGAAGAGGGTAGGGTGTTTCAGGTCCCCATCTGCCCCAAAAGCACCTCGGACACAGGCCACCTCCAAGGAGCTGAGCCCAGGAGAGCTGATGGAGAAGCACAACCATCCTCCTGGGACAGCCCTCACTGGGAACCCATGGGAGACAGGACATTCTGGTCAAGAGTACAACCATTCCTAGACAAATGGGATGTGTCACAGCTGGGGGATGATTTCCCCACCAGCAAATCATGGTAAGAAGCCATTCTGCGCTGCTCTAGCTCGACTCAAGCCAAGAAATCTGGTGTTTGACCTATGAACTGGTGAAGAAGTGACACCTCGGAGCCAGAATCCTCAAACCGGGTTTGAGGGTTAAGAACAAAATTGTGTTCAGAGAAACCACACACACAAACCACCCCCCAATCCCACCGCCTTTGGGATTTGGGTAGATGGTGCCCATCAAAGGACTGAGGCTCAAAGGCAGGGATGAGGGTATGGGAACGGTGGTGGGGAAAAATTCCTTAAGATAAATTAAGACAGAGTTTTCATGGTTCAAGGGCTGGATACCGGGACATAAACCAGCAGCCTGCGGTGGCCAGAAACCACAGACCTGCTGAAATGAGGCTCTTTTACACTTCTCTCCCCAAGCCACCCAGTTTCCAGCTGCCTCTGGATTAAACTTGGTGCAGATACCTCCAGCACCTCATCCCACCACGTCTGTGGAGAAGAGGGTGGGTTTGGTGAAGTCAGAGTAAATCCCCAAACTCTGCCCCAGGGGATGTGGACCCTCACCTGCCAATAACACATCCTGGAGGGGAACTATCAACACCTTTTATTCCTCTCCCCCTCAAAAAAAATGCCTTTATGCTGACATGTTGTTTTCTCTAAAGATGTATTTCAAGCAAATATTTCGTGGAACTATTCCAAATATTTCTGAGGTTCAGCTGAAGCCATGGAAAAAGCCCAAGATTCCCATTAACGAAATGATCCCTGGATGGGAGCAAAGCTGGGTCGGGGTCCAAATATGAGATAATCTGCCCCCTGAAACAGGTCCTCCTTGGCAGGGGAAGGGCCAGATTGGCACAGGGACACTGGGCATGGTTCAAGGGCATCAAAAACCCGCATCTTGATGCTGCTGGAACCTCTTTGGTGCAGGAAAGGGTTCTGGGGAGCTGAGTCTGCAAAACCCTTGTGAGAACACTGAGCTGTTGCAGCTGTATCTTTGGCGAGAGGCATCTCCAGCGTGAGGGACAGGAGAAGCTCAGCTCCCTACCTCCAACTTGTTAAAACAGAAGGGCAGGTGGTGATTTTGGAGGCACAGCCTTGAGAAAAGGGACGTGGCAAATACCTGGCTGGGGAATCAACTCACTGACGGGTCCCTCACATCACTGATGGAAAGAGAAACCCTCCCAGCACGTCAGGGCCACAGAAGATGTGCCACCTCCGGGCTTAAAGGGTGCAGGATGAGGCCCGGAGCAACCAGAGGGATTTGCTCCGAGAAGCTTCTCTCTTAGGACCTCACGTTTATTCACAGGCTTTTGATTCTGCTCTTTGTTTTGGAAAAAGCCTGCGTGTGAGCGCGACGGGGCACGGAAAAAGAAGCTGCTCAGAGACAAACCCCAAGCGATCCCTCTCGTTTTCCACGTTCCCTCGTTGGCATCCCCGCAGCCTCCTTTCTCCCCCTATTATTTATGAAACCCTGGGCCCTTTGGAAGCATCCAGCCCCCTGGATATCTGCAAAGGGGGAGTCTCCACCAGAGCTCAGCAGCAGAAACCAGGGCCCCAGTGCCATCCCACTACAACAGCACCTCTAAAAGCAAACCTCATTTATTATTTTGGGTTGTTTTTTTTTCCCCTGTGGGTTCAAGCAGAGAGAGAAGGGCAGCTGCACTGTAAGCCAATCGTGACAGTAAGGGCTGCAGGGTTTCATACCGGCCAGGCCATTAGATATATTATTAGGCAACACAACCCAAGCGAGCTCAGGAATCCCAAGCTGTGGGATTCCAGCTGGAAGGCTCCTCCGTGCCCTAAACCCCCCCCCCTACCCCAGTAAGGTGGGGAAGGGGGACAGCCTGCCAGTTCTCCCCGTTACATGAGCCGCCCCGGGGGCTGAACCGGCTCGGCCGCCTCTTTGCCAGGCTGCTGGTTCTCATGGGGGATGGCGTCTGAAAAGCGAGATATTGCATTTCACGGGGCTGTTTTCCAGCTTTTTTGGAGGGGGGGGATAAGTAGGGGGGGGGTGGGACGGGAGAGAATGGCGTGGTGTTAAGTATCGTCTCTCAATCCGACGCGCTCGTGTGTTCCCACTCACATCTGGCCTCCCGTTACGCGCCAGATGTTGGAAATCCTCCTCCGGGCCCACGTCAAACCTCAACATCTGGCCCCGGGGGTGTGACCTCCTCTAAGTCCCACCAGAGGTTCCTCTCTTTTACCTGGACCAGTTTGTCGATGCCGAGAGCTCGGTCCAGCTCGGCCAGCTCCGTCTCGTCTTTGCCGCTGAGGAAGGAGACGAGCTGCTCCAGCAGGGCCTTCTCGTCGTTCCGACCCTCCGGGGTGGTGGGAGGACACAGGAGCTCGTCCAGCTGCGAGGTGATGCACTGGCTGCAGGGAGAAGAAGCCGAGAAGCTCGTTAGGGTTGACGAAGCTGGGAGGAGGATGAGCTGGGAGATGCTGGGAGCCCCTGGAGCTGCAGGGACTCACTCCCACCCCACCACATCATCCTGGATGGAGCCTCGTGTCCCCCCCGGCTCCGACACCAGCTCCAACTCAAGCCCAATGCCAGAACCTGCTTGGGAAGGATGAACCTCTCCAAGAAACGAAGCCCGGACAGCGTTTTGGTGAGGTCTGGGAAGAAAACTTTGGTGCTTTTGCAGGCTTTGCTTCCCGCAGGCGTGGGTTTTTTTGGTGGTTTTTTGGTTTTGGTTGGTTTTTTTTGGGCAGGACAGCAGGAGGCAGAGCAAAACTTCTGCCGGCACGGAAAGTCGGGGAGGCTTGGATGGAGCCAGAGCAGCTGGAAGCGAAACAGCTGAAGGCAAAAGGGGAACCTTTCGGCCTCAAAGAGAAAAAAAAAATAATAATAAAAAAAAAAATTAAAGATTTCTGCAACGCTCGCTCAATATTCTTTGGGAATCAGATTAATATGTAATGAGAGACATTCCAATGACGTGACTAATTGGAGTCAATGGGATTTGCTGGGGCTGACAGGGCGCAGAGAGCCGTGGCACATCACGCTCGCAGCCAGGCACCGAGGCGAGGGCGCAGAACATGCCAGCGGTTCCCAAGCTGCAGACATGTTTATCCCTTCAGCTCCAGATGAGGACCAGATGTACAGTAAGGAACACAAGCCAAGCCTCTGCAAAGCCAACACACGCAGCCTGATCCAGGGAAAAAGGAATACTGGGCGCTGGGATTTCTGGAGTTGCAGAGCAGGAGCAGAGAGGGGAGATGGAGGTGAAGAGCTGGGCTGGTTTCCCTCCACAGCCAAGGTCCTTGCCACCTGCTGCTCCTATCAAACCCCCCTTTTTCAGCGGCCAAAGTTCACTGCACAGACATGGTTCTTGCAGGGGAAGGTGAGAAGAAGCTGCTTCTCCACATGAGCAAGCAGGTAGAGGAGGGAGTCAGGTTGGCACCATCTCTTCAGGCCGTGCCGGACCTCCACGTGGATGGGAGAAGTTGGTTTAGAGAGAAACAGTGGGGAAAATACAACCTTTTAGTAAATAAACTTCCAGCGTGCCCTGCTTTGCAGCCTGATCCAGCTTGGCCGTGGCACATCACGCTCGCAGCCAGGCACCGAGGCGAGGGCGCAGAACATGCCAGCGGTTCCCAAGCTGCAGACATGTTTATCCCTTCAGCTCCAGATGAGGACCAGATGTACAGTAAGGAACACAAGCCAAGCCCCTGCAAAGCCAACACACGCAGCCTGATCCAGGGAAAAAGGAATACTGGGCGCTGGGATTTCTGGAGTTGCAGAGCAGGAGCAGAGAGGGGAGATGGAGGTGAAGAGCTGGGCTGGTTTCCCTCCACAGCCAAGGTCCTTGCCACCTGCTGCTCCTATCAAACCCCCCTTTTTCAGCGGCCAAAGTTCACTGCACAGACATGGTTCTTGCAGGGGAAGGTGAGAAGAAGCTGCTTCTCCACATGAGCAAGCAGGTAGAGGAGGGAGTCAGGTTGGCACCATCTCTTCAGGCCGTGCCGGACCTCCACGTGGATGGGAGAAGTTGGTTTAGAGAGAAACAGTGGGGAAAATACAACCTTTTAGTAAATAAACTTCCAGCGTGCCCTGCTTTGCAGCCTGATCCAAAGCCTTCCTCCCCACTCCTCTCCTCCAGCACCGTGCCACGGTGGGGTTCAGATGAGGCTCCAGGCAGGTAATGATGGGAGAAGGAGATCTTGGACCCAGTGCATCATGTCCCCAATTCCCCATCCAAAGGTTTTCTATCCCCTGGAATCCTACAAGGCTTTTTTTTTTTAAGGTGGAAACTCTGATTCTGCGTACGGCGAAGAGGAGAAATTCAACTCCTCACGGAGATGGTGTGAAATGCTGCTCGAGGTCCTGTAAAACATCTCCCTGGTGTGGCCTCCAACCGCTGCTGCGAAAGGGCGCAGGACTTCAGCCCTGCACAGATGTCCTACAGACCGCTGGCATCTCCGATGGCACCGGGTGCCAGCGCTGAGGCAACCAAATCAGGCCCTGGGGTGGCATGTTTGACCTTGGGGGATTAGAGGAACACATGTGAGAACAGCGACCTGGACTCGGTTCCAGGAGCCTTGGACGTGGCCCAAGGTGTCCCTCTTCTGCAGAAGACGCAAGAGCACTTATGCCTGAGAGGGGATGTTGTAGCCACTACACTTCATCGAGAGGCGAAGGCACAGGAGGATTTGGGGAAGGTGAGAATTTAAAAAGGAAGCTCCCGTTTCCCCGGGACACCCGGAGCTGGGAAATCTGGCCACCACCAGCTCCTCAAGCAAGGCCAGGACCTCAGCCCACCTCCAGAGAACACGAACCTCCCAGCTGGGAAACTTTCACAACCTCCAAAGCAAAATCTCTTCTGGTTTGATCTTAGCTGAAATATTATTTCTTGGTCCCATAATATCCACCCCGCAAAGGCATTGTCCGCTCGCTCCGACCCTGGCCTCCGTCGGGTGGACAAGAAGCCGCTGGGACTGTGGGCATCTCCCAGGACAAGCGTGTCCTCCCCAGCTGGAGCACATCTGCAGGTCTTGAGGACCAAAGTCCAGAGGCTTTTCCCCAGCAGAATCTCTTCTCTTGGCTGCAGCAGAAGCAGGGGTTTTGTAGTTGATCACTACACCACTAGATGGAAGTGGTTAGATCCCACCAAGATGCTGCCAAGGCAGGTCTCACCCATGGAGCTCCATCAGACTTCAGTAATCAGAGGATACTGCACTGGGAACCAGCTTCTTCCAGTGTTGTGTCTGTTGACCACCTCTGGCAGGAGCCACCCCTGCCCAGAGACCCTAATTCAGGATGAATGGATGCTCACCAGGATGAGGAGCCCTCTACCTCTCATCTTGCTGTCATCTCGTGGCCCCGGTCCGTGTGTTGGCTCTTCTGTTGGCTCCACCATGTGGGGAGCCCAACCTTGCCACAGGGAGCCGAAGAAGCCATGGGAGTCCCACCACGCAGCATGGTTTTCCTTGCTTTCTCCCCCCTCAAAGCCAAGAAAATCAAATACGACCTTGTGAAACCTTAACCAGGCTGCAATTTTCAAGTGTGGCTGAAACCAAAAGCAAGATGGGTTACCTCCAAATCTCACCAGGCTTCGGGCAGATGCCGCTGGTCCACCGATCTGACCTTGCACCTTGTCTCCTGACACCTCCTTTGCCCTGAAAACCACCCCAGGAGCAACTCCCTCATGTTTTTCCCACCTGAGGAGTCTTGCCCAACATCTCTCCTCCTTGATACCTGCGCAGGTCCCAAGCCTTCCAACGCCAACCCTGATCCTTGCTCCATAATCCTGCGTCAAAGAGTGAGCCAGAAGAAAATCCAGCTCCTTTCCTCCCAGCTGGGGAGACAAAAACGTCTCCAGCTGGCCAGGGTGACTCAGTGCTCGGAGCTCAGGGCTGCTGAGTAAGGTAAGGTCATTTTTATCCCATAAGCAGCATTCTAAAGAACATTTGTAGCTTAAAAAACAGCTAAGATTTTTCTAGCAGCTCCACCCCTTGCCAGGTGTGCCCCCACGGATCTTATCCCAACAAAATGAGGGCACCCACAAGCCTTAAAAGGGAAGTTACTTCCTTGTGGTGAGGGCTCGGGCTGATATAAATGCTCAATTAAATGAGGATTTGTTTTATCTCCCAGCTCTTCCGAGCAACAAGAGGCTAAGTCTTCCCAGCAGAAGTCCAAGATCCAGTTGCAGCAGACACCACTTAGGAAACTCTCCTTCTTGGGCTGAGCGAAGAGCTTTTAGAAATTAATCCAAATTTAGCCCTGAGAAAAAGATGTCTGGCTACCGGCTTGCTCAGATACAGCTCTTACACGTGTCTTCTTCATGACTGCACAACTGAGACTGAGCTCATCTGCTAAAGACTTTAATTAATAGAGGAAATTCTGCCTCTCCGCAAAGCAGGGCTGGGCTTTGGCAGGAGGATCCGTGCAGAGCTCATCGGTGCTGGCTCTTAAACCAGGCACCTGAAGCCCTCCCTGGGGCCAGGGGCAGGGATTCACCTCCCGTCCTCATCAAATCCATCTCCATGAGCATTGCTGATCCTCAGCGAGGACTTTGGGGTGGCAGGACATTGCCCACCGAGCTCCATCAGCAGGGCTCACCACCTTTCTGACCTTCTGTCCCAAAGTATCTGACCCACAGTCGCCTCCAACCCCTTTATAACCAAGCAGTGACCTTGGACTTTGGGCTGGTGATGACCCCTTGGCTGCTCCTTGGACCCAAAAAAGGCGGCCAGAAAACTAGAGGGGGTTATTGGACCTTGGATTAGAACTTGTGGGTGTTTTAGCTGAAGCCAGAAGCACATGGGGACTGAAAAGAGCTGCAATCATGTGAAAACACAAAACTGTCCCGTGGTTCTCCAGATCCCACCACTGTCCCCGGCGAGAAGCTGCTGGAGAACACCCACCCAAGTATTGGCCGTGGCACAGGCAAGGGACACTGGGGACTTGCAGCATCCTTGGCTCTGCCATGGATATACGGCCATCCCATGATGATTCTGGGATTATTCAGGTCCAGACATACCCTGGATGTCTCTCCCCAACCCACCTTCCTTGTCTACTCACACACTTGTGCCTAGAGAGAGAACAGGTGTCATCTCTCCCACTGTACCACCCTTCACACCCCGTGTCCCAGCACTTCATGGTGCCACCATCAACCACCACAGTCGTGCTTGTCCCAGTTTGCCCTTGCCGGGTCTCCAGGCTGGCACCAAAGGCCACCATCTCTTTGACCCATGCAGGAGGACATCCCGATGTTCTCCTGGGAGAGGTTGGGAAGCCACCAGCCCCATGGTACTTACTCTTCGGGTTTATTGAGCGTGCCTCGGTTCATGGCTGCCATGCCGTTATCCGCCCAGGGGATCTGCTCCCCCATCCCCGGCTGTCCAAACTGGTGATCCGGCACCCCCATCTCCAGCTCAGGCATCCCTGGGGTGGGGGGAAAAAAGGAGGACGAGGGGGAGGAAAAGTTAGTGTGTGGACAAGACTCAGGGAGACCGGGCAAGCTCGGAGCAACAGGATGTCCTAAAACATCCCCAAAAGGGATGCCGAGATTGACCAGTTAGGGCTCTTTTCAACCCAAAGTTACAGACACCAGGTGAGGTTTCCCCACCATTAATCATCAGCACAAGCTTCTGGGTGAAAACCTACGCAGATCCTGCCCGGGCAGCAGATCTCTGTGAGTTTTCAACCCAAAGTTACAGACACCAGGTGAGGTTTCCCCACCATTTCCCCAAAAGGGATGCCGAGATTGACCAGTTAGGGCTCTTTTCAACCCAAAGTTACAGACACCAGGTGAGGTTTCCCCACCATTAATCATCAGCACAAGCTTCTGGGTGAAAAACCTACGCAGATCCTGCCCGCGCAGCAGATCTCCGTGACCCTGCTCACCCAGCATGTGCCAACCCTATTAAAATGTTTCCCTTTTCAGCACATTTCGTGCAAGTTTTTCAAACTTTAGACAAGTCGGAGGGTTTCTTCTCGAAGGCAAAATTGTTACCACCGAAGATTTTAGCTTAAAAAATATCCCACACCCATCAGCATCTTCTGCCTCTCTTCTAGAGAAAAGTTAATTTGCAGAGGGAAAGGAGCCAATGCAATTAAATTAAGTTGTAGCAGAACTTGGAGCCCAAGCCCAGGACGAGAGAGATTTACGAGGCTGGAGACTTGACGTCATCCCATTTTGAAATGGGAACTGGGACCCAAGATCAAAGGGCCTCTCAGCTGGACCAGCCCCTAGAGATCCAAGGAGGTGGACACCAGAGGGAGAAGCACTCTTCTGGCTGGGGTGGCATCTCTGGGCTATCGGTGGCCACCCCCATGCCAAAACCCCGAGTTTCTAAGAGATTTGCTGCTGAAGGCTGCTCCTAAAGATGAAAATCTCTCTTCTTTTAACCAAGCTCAGCTGCGCCGGTTCTTTTCCCCCCAAAAATACATTATTTGCTTGAAAACCCTGTGCCTCGTGTCTCTGCTGTTGTCACACGGAGCCACCAGCTTCACGTGCCACCCAGATCGTGGAGTTTGTTTCAAAAAAAAAGAGAAAATAAGAGCCCTGAGGGGAAGGAGGGGAGGGAATTCCAGCTGGGGAATGCTCAGCATTCCCAGTGCAGGCACCGGCACAGCAGCTCCTGCCCAGCACCCCCTTAGTTCTCCAAATTTCTTTAAAAAAGCCTCTAAGGTTGCTTGGCAACAGGCGGATCCTGGCAGTGCCAGAGGCAGCCACGGCAGCTCCAGAGAAGCTCGTGGCACAGTCACGGTGTGGTCCATCCTCAATCCTTCCTCAATTTGCCCCAAAATGTTCCTCAGATGCTGAAGGTGACAGATCTTCCCGAGCACAGCATCATTTACTGGGGTGACCCTCCTCGAGGTGACCCTCCTCGAGGTAGCCAGACCCAGCTGTGGCTTCACGAGCATCAGGGCAGGATGTAAAATAATTCATATTTTATAGCTGCGAGTGCTGCAACGACACCGTGTGTCCCCGGAGGGGAAGGAATGCTCTCCTGTGATGTTCTCCTTGTTGAGAACCTGCCCAAACCAGGAGCTCCCAAGCCTGGCCAACACCAGAGAGGGGACAGGGGGTGAATCCTGCAGCTCTTCTAGTCCCATGTGGCCACGAGAAGATGAGATCTGGGTGATTTGCTTTCTGCACCCACAGTCCAGCCGTTGGAGAGCCCCACTGCACGGTGGCAAGGTCCCTCTTCCACATCACGTTCAGCATCGTTCGACACACCGAGGGGAGCGGAAGAGGGCAGAGAAGCAGCATCCATAACCCTCTGGACCCCAAGCTGCCAAAACAGCTCATGGCGAGGTCTGTGGTGTTTTGCCATCAACAATTCCAGCATGGTGAGGTGAGACTGTTGCTTCTACAGATGTCCTGACGCACCACCCGTGCTCTGATCTTCATGGAAATTAAACCTTGGCCAGTGGCAGGGGAACCTGAGCCACCACCACCACTTGGGCAGGGGATGCAGCCTCCTCGGGAGCCAGGAGGGACAGAAAAGTCTTTCTTTTGTCTGAAAATGGCGATCTCATCAATGCTGATCAATGCCCCCCAGTTCCAGAAGGACAGGGAACTGTGCCTCCTCGGGAGCCAGGAGGGACAGAAAAGTCTTTCTTTTGTCTGAAAATGGGGATCTCATCAATGCTGATCAATGCCCCCCAGTTCCAGAAGGACAGGGAACTGCTGGAGAGGGGACAGCGGAGGCTACGAAGATGTTCAGGGGCTGAAGCATCTCTCTGCTGAGGAAAGGCTGAGGGACCTGGGGCTGTTCAGCTGGAGAAGAGCAGACTGAGAGGGGATCTCATCGATGCTGAGCAAGAGCTAAAGGGCAGATGGCAAGAGGATGGGGCCAGACTCTTCTCAGTGGTGCCCGAGGACAGGACAAGGGGCAACGGGCACCAACTGGGATGTGGGAAGTTCCATCTCAACATGAGGAGGAACTTCTTTCCTGTGAGGGTGGCAGAGCCCTGGAAGAGGCTGCCCAGAGAGGTGGTGGAGTCTCTTTCTCTGGAGACATTCAAACCCCACCTGGACACGTTCCTGTGCAACCTGCTCTGGGTGGGACCTGCTCTGGGAGGGGGTTGGAGGAGATGATCTCCAGAGGTCCCTTCCAACCCCATGTGATTCTGAAACTACCCATGTGAGAACAGAGAAAAGACCAAGTGGAATCTTGTTGCTCGTGAGAAGCTGTGGGTGAACGGTGATGCTCGAGTTCCACCTCGTGCATTTTCTCCCCTGGGGACTCCCTGGAAAGCTTTAGTGTCAACCCAGAGAAGGTGGAGAGGAGCCGATGGCGCATCTGGACGTACCTGTGTCGGGTGGGAAGGGGTTTGGTGCTGTCACTGTCCCCCTGCCCTGCTGGGACGCCCCGCGGGCGTGCGGGCTGCTGCCGTTGCTCGCAGGGCAAGGGACCGGCCTCAGCTGCGTTGGCTCCAGGGGGTCACAGAACTCGAAGGGGGGACGAGGAGCCTGCACACCCTGCCCACTGCTCATCGCTGGAGATTCACCAAATTATTAAAGAAAAAAGAAAAAAAAAGCACAAGTCAGATCCCACCACAAGGCTTGTTGCTCAGCAGATCCTTCACCCTGCCAAGAATGGAGCAGGTATTGGTAGGTTTGGAGGGCAAAAAGGGGTTTGTGGTGGGATGTCACCTCACCTAAAGTTGAATGCTTGGTCCCATGTGTGGCTTGGTCACCCCCAGCCACCCTGGGGAAGCACCTCCAGCACCACATGGGATAGGTGATGGTGACAACAGCAGGGCATAAAAATTAAAATTAACCAAGCAGACCTCAGAAATGCTGGGGTGATGGAGGTGGGACCCATCTACTGTATAGAGAGAGGGTTTTGAAGCTGCTAAAAGGAGGGTATCGGGGTGAATTTTCTGTTCCCTCATTCCACGCAGCCACATCAACCAGACTCTGCTCCCCCCAGGGGGGGACCTCAGGGCAGGAGCTGTGCCCCCCCTTAAGCCTGGCAGCGAGAGGGAAGCCTCAGCAGATGCCGCCCGTGCAGCCCTTCATCTATCACCTGCTGGCTTTAACTCAATTAAAATGATGTCGTTAGGCCTGGCGTTCCTCTAATTTTTATTTAGATAGGGTTTCTGCCAGCTCGCCCGCAGTTTGCCATCAGGGGGCACGTCTCAAATGCTCACGTTGAATTGAAAAGTGAATGTTAAGAGGCAGCTTTGCGAGTGGGTGGCCACCAGCTGTGGCTGCTGGCAACCCCTCTCCATCTGCAGCACCTCTAAATCCCTGGGGAGCAGCTCAGGGGAGCACTGCTGACCCCCCCCAAGGAGTTAAACCCAACGGCAGTGCTTTTGGCCAGGCTCGTGGTGGACCTTCTCAGTGGTGACTGCTATTTTAGATGCTGTGACCCAGGAGGGCAGCAGTGGGCATTCCAAGCCACCACCGTGCTCGTCCTCCCCACTCACTTGGATGCAGGATTCCCTTTCCTCCGAAGGCAATAATCCCTGCTCTTAATTACATCGGAGCATTACGAATGCCCCCGCCGCTGAAGGTACCAACCAGCTCAGCCTCCCTCATCCAGAGTCCCTCCCCATCCAGAGTCCCCCAGAGGCTCCCCTCCCTCATCCAGAGTCCCTCCCCATTTCCCCTTTAGGGACTAGAAGGTCTCCCAGAGCATCACCCTGGCCGGATCCAGGATGGTAGTACCCAGTAGGGTGGTGATGGAGGAGACCACCCTGCTCCCACCCTGTTTTGGGGTGTTCCCCGGGGGTGGACACGTACGGTTGAGTCCCGTGGGGGCTCTGGCAGTGGCACCAGGCTGCAGGGGGGCCGCCAGCATCTCCGGTTTGACGGTGACACCGGTGACACCGCTCTCGGTCCTCTCTGGTCCACAGAGGCCGGGCAGCTGAGCCGCCTTCTCCAGCGAGGGCAGGAGCTGGTCCAGCTGCTCCAGTTCGGCAGCAAACTAAGGGAGAAAGGGAAAAAAAAAAAAAAAAATCACTATTGGGTGATTCAGTCCAAACCCAGCATCAGCGAGACCCAACGCTGCTCCCTCCATCCCTTGGCAGACCCTGGGGGGACAAGGACTGTCCCCCCCAGCGCACAGGTCCTCGGTGACAGCTTTGAGATGCTCATGCACTGCAATTAGCATAATTATTAACAGTATGTATAACCTCCAGCCATTTAAAACGGGAGATAATTTGCTTTGTGCTTATGCTTATAGATACTTGCACTGAAATGATAATAGTAATTTTTAAAATGGTCTGTTTTAAGAAACACAAGTGACTTTTTGGAACAAGTGTCCAAAACCGACACCGGCCTCGGGCATGTAATTACCCTCAGTGGGGTAGTAAATTATCAGGCACTTTTTCCAGCCTTCATCAGTGGAAGAGAAGATGTTTTAGCCCAAGGACCCAACTAAATGGGAGAGTCACTGGGAAAGGGATCTGCACCAGTGGCTGGAACAGCGGCGCCACGAAGCAGCAGGTTGGGATGAAAAGGGGCTGAGATAAACGAGCTTTGGCTAAAAAAGAAAAATATCTCAAGGGAAACCAAACGCGTGAAAATCTAAGGACACAAACTGCTTCCAGAAAAGCCCCCCCCTCGGCGTTAGGGAAAGCCTGGCCATTAACACGGGGTAATTAATAGAATATATGATAGCATTCCCATTAGCTCTTTCCCAAACCCTACCCAAATATTTCTTGTTCTCCCCCCATGCAGAGGTGCCTCTGAGGAAACCTGGGATGTTTCCACAGGATAAATCCGGAAAGGAAATAATTCCTCCAGGGCTGAAGACGAGCTGCCAAACCTGCCCCACAATTCATGTTGCTCCTAATTGACAATTTTGCTTCTTTCAGATAATCACACGTGAAAATAAAACCCCAGCAAGTGCTAGATTTTATGTGAAACGGCAGCTCTCCCTCCCCACCAGAGCTGCCTGGAACAGGGAGCACGTGGAAACGAAGCTCCATCCTCAGCTGCTGAGCAGGGAAGGGCTGTTCACTCCTTGGAAAATCCATTTTAAGACTCCACAAACCCTCTCCCAATAGTTTATTAACTCTTTGGGAGCGCTGGGCACGGTCCAACGTATCATCCTGACGTTCTCCAGCTGCCTGGGGAGGGATACTTGGAACCCAGAAGCCACGAAGGAGCCTAAAAAATGCTCTTCTGCTTCCAAGTGCAAGAGGGGGGGGGTTATAAACACATCCAGGCTGGAGACATCCAAGCTCCGTGTGCCTGTTTGCGAGCAGAGCACAATTAGCCTCGTCTAATTAAGAGGGTTTTCTGCCCACTCAGAAGGATGGTGGCACCTGGAACTGTGACTGATGGTCAGGGAAGAGCCCGTCTGCATCCCTGGCTGGCACATGGGTCCTGCAAGAGGATGTCTGGGAGACCAGGCAAGCAAAGCTTGTCCCGTGCCCTGGTGTTTTGCCTAATTTTGGCTAAATCTGAGCTCCTCAATGTGCTCCCTGCTGCACAGAAGAGGGGACAGCGGAGGCTACGAAGATGCTCAGGGGCTGAAGCATCTCTCTGCTGAGGAAAGGCTGAGGGACCTGGGGCTGTTCAGCTGGAGAAGAGCAGACTGAGAGGGGATCTCATTGATGCTGAGCAAGAGCTAAAGGGCGGGTGGCAAGAGGATGGGGCCAGACTCTTCTCAGTGGTGCCCGGGGACAGGACAAGAGGAAATGGGCACAAACTTGAATATAAGAAGCTCCACCTAAACATGAGGAGGAACTTCTGCACTTTGAGGGTGGCAGAGCCCTGGCAGAGGCTGCCCAGGGAGGTGGTGGAGTCTCCTTCTCTGGAGACATTCAAACCCCACCTGGACACATTCCTGTGGGACCTGCTCTGGGTGAGACCTGCTCTGGCAGGGGGTTGGAGGAGATGATCTCCAGAGGTCCCTTCCAACCCCCACCATTCTGTGACTTCCAAGCCAAATGAGCCCTTCACCTTATCAAGGGAACTATTGTGTCTTTGCCATTTGAGGTTCCCCCAGAGCTCTAGTTTTCACCCCGTGTCTCTGAACGCCATCAGCCGCCTTGGCTGCAGTCGGGAAGGAGCAACCAGCCCTCCTCTCCGTGTCAGCCGCTCTCTCCTCTTTGCTTAAAAAGGATTAAGCGCCCTTATCCGTGTTACCATCTCCCCTGGCTTTCAAAAATAAGAAATCTCTTCTATTCATAGCTGTGCGTAATGAATATTTATACACCCCGATCTCTATGGCAGAGATCTGTCACCGGATTATTCCATTTAATAATACTTTTAGGATAACTAAAAGGCCCGTATAATTGCTAATCTCAGCCAACAAGAGGGCGAGGGATTGAAAATTCCCTGGGACGCGAGCCCTGAATGTGCCCAGAGATGCAGAATTAAGAACCTTTTCGCATGGCAACACGCACACGGTCTTCTCCTCACCCAAACCCACCACCTGCAGCCATCTCATTGCCTTTCTTTCTCATTTTTATACACCTCGGTAAAGTTTCTCCCCTCCCTTCCCACCATTGCCTTGAAGATGTGAGCTGCCAAAACGTGAAGCATCTAGACAAAAGGGGGTAGTGTTGGTCCTGGAGAAGGTGGCTTCAGTGCTGGAGGTGGCGTCACCAGCGCAGAAGGTTGGGAAGCCACAGGACATAGAATCATAGAATGGTTTGGGTTGGAAGGGACCTCAAGGATCATCTAGTTCCAACCCCCCTGCCCTGGGCAGGGACACCTCCCACTAGAGCAGGTTGGTCAAAGTCACATCCAGCTTGGCCTTGAACACCTCCAGGGATGGGGCAGCCACGACCTCCCTGGGCAACCTGTTCCAGTGTCTCACCACCCTCATAGTAAAGAATTTCTTCCTGAGATCTAATCTGAATCTTTTTTCTTCCAATTTAAAACCGTTTCCCCTTGTCCTATCATTACCCTTCCTGACAAAGAGTCCCTCCCCAACTCTTCATCTCCCCATGCTTCTCCCAGCTCCACCACCTTGCTGTGGAGGGAGCCCACCAGTAGGTTTGGGGACAATTGCCCCCAAAACACAACTTGTGGAGAGCATCCCACCAGCGTGGATACAAGATGGGTCAACTCACCTGGCCCTGCGTCTCCAGCTTGACCTCCTCCGCGGCAGGAGGTTTGGCGAGTGGCACCGGGGCCGTGTTACAGGGCTCCATCTGCTCCGTCTTCTCCACCTTCACCTTCACATCGTCCAGGCTCAGGGCTGGGGCTGCAGCAAGCTCCTTCTCGTCCTTGTCCAGCAGATAGCGCAGGAGCTGGTGATCCTTGACATCTTTTTTCTTCAGGGCATCTGGCTCCAGTTTGATGTCCGGGGTCCCCGGCAGCTGGCTCTGAGCCGTGGGGGTGGTGGCGGGGTTGGGGGCCGTCTCCTTCTTCTCGTGCTCCATGGCCAGGGTGGTGATGTCGGAAGGGCTGCCCTCCTGAAGGAGTCTATGCAAAATCTTGTGCCGCTCGGTCAGCGAGCTGTGGGAGGAAGGGCAGGTGCTGCTGGGAGGGTTGGTGGAGGCCAAGGTGCCACCGGTGCCCGCGCAGGCCAACGAATCTTTGCAGCTCGTGTCCGCGTCGGCGTGCCGAAGCTGCTGCTCCGCCGTGGTGGCCAGGAGCTGGACCAGCTTGTGGCTGGTGGCTTGGGAGCACTTGTTGTCCCCTTCCGAGAGCCTGTCACCGGCGTGCAGCATGGCCGAGTCCAGAGGTTTGCCATCCCCTGACCCACCGTCCGACTGGATCATCTCGCTCAAGATGGAGGCGATCTCTTTGCTGTCCTTGGACTCTGCTTTCATGGGCTGCATGGCCAGGCGGCCAGGAGAGCTCTGGGAGCTGAGCTGTCTCAGCACTGGGGGTGGCGTGGAGTAGCCCACCGGCGTGCTGGGACCTTCAGCCAACCCCTGCATAGAGTTTATAGGAGCGCTGGGGAAGGGTCTGGTGCCACCGGTGCCACCACCACCACCACCCCCACCACCGCTGTTGGCCATGCCCACCGGGGAGTGCATGGTGGGCATGGTGGGTGAGAAGGGATTGCTGGGCACCCTGGGTCTGGCCACCAGCCCCGGGCTGACCCGATGCCTCGGAGACATGAACTGTGGTGGGGTAATCCCTGGACTATTCATGGGGGAGCTGTTGAGGTTCAAAGTGTGGTTACTGTTCTGGGGACCGGCCTGTCCCTGGCTTAAGGCAACGTTGGCTCCTATCTGGTTCCCAGGTGAACATCCAAAGCTGGTTTGGCTGGTGCTGGAGTTGCTGTTGTGGAGGCCGGCGCCCGGCTGCTGGTTCACGTTGGTGGCCAACATGCTGCCGTTGGAGGGAGGGATGGAGGGAGGCAAGGCCATGCCTTGCCCGGGGGAGATGCTGGGGTTCAGCGAGGGGCTGACCCGGGGAAGGGACATGGCAGAGTTAGTGTTCTCCTGGGGTGAGAGCATGCCGTGATCCCTGCGGGAGAAGAAAAGGAGAAGAAAAGTCACAAGAGGCCTTTGCTCAAACCTTTGGTGTCGCTCAGGCTTCTCCTGCCCCACATCCACGCTGCAGAACCCTGAAGGCTGGAGAGCAGCAGCTCACAAGCCCTGGTGGTCTCAGCCTTCCCATCCCCACCAGTGCTTCTGGATCCATTCCAGCAGCATGGATGGAGTGCAGCAGCTTTAGCATCTCCCCAGAAATGTGACGCTGCTGGGGACTGCAGCCACTCACCATCTAAACCCTGAAGGCATCACCTTCTCTAGGTCTCACATTCCCACACGGCTGGAGGACCACGCATTCCCCTCCACCCCAGCCCCCTCCTGTTTCCCCAGCACGGCCCAGCTCCACAACCTCACCTCTCCCTGTCCCGCCAGTTTGTCAGAGCCTCTCCCTCCCCAAATATTTTAAGTTCTCCAGGGCAAGGCAGAAACCTGAAGCGTGTCTATAAATCTCCACCTGAACTCCCGGGGCCACTTCTTTGCAAAACAAGAATAATCGAGAGGAATGGAGCTGCCATAGTGCTGGTTTTCAGCCTCAGATTCCTCACGGGGATCACATCTCCAAACCAGCACCACAGACCACCAGTGGATCCTCCTTCCTCTGCAGGGAACAAGCCCTTAGATTCCTGAATTGCCCACCTGGGCACTGGCACGGCTCGGAAGCGGCAAGGTGGGGACGTACCTGTCGATGACGTGGATGCCCATGATGAAGGGCTGCATCTCCGGGCTGTTGGGGTAGCAGAGCTTACACTTGGTGTGGGCACTGAGCACCGTCCCGTCGCTCAGGGTGAAGCGGTACGAGGGGCTGAAGGCCGTGCCACGTGTCATCACTGGAGGAGACAACCAGAAACACATCGACCCCCTCAGAAACTCCAGCCAGAACCCACAAAGCCCTACGAGCACCAGGAGGAGAATGGAGGGAGCAGAGCGGGAGGACCTGCCTGGGGACAACCACCTTCCCAGTGAACAAAACCACACGCTGGGTATTGGCTAACCCCATAGTCCTGGGAAATGAGGGTTAGAAATGACCATGGTGGCACAGAAATCCTCCCAGCTGCTTCTCCAGCTCCAAATGCATATCCTGCAGTAGATCTAAATCCCCCCAGCACGATCCTTGAGTGCTCAGAGCTTCCGATGGGGCAATCACTCGATCCCCACAAGCTGAGGAAGCCCAGCCAGGCTGGGAAGGTGCAGCAGGACATTGTCACTGCAGCCCTGGCAGAGTCACAGTTCTCCAGGGGCTCAGCGACCTCCTTCTCCTGCCTTCCCCACATCCCTGTTGTGAGCATCCTCACCAACAGCAAAGTGCTCAGCAAAGACCTCACAAAAGAGCTGAGAGAGCAAAGATGCTCACAAGAGCTTCTGCTTCTTCTGCTTAGATGCTAAGTGCTCAGCAAAGACCTCACAAAAGAGCTGAGAGAGCAAAGATGCTCTCAAGAGAGCTCCTGCTTCTTCTGCTTAGATGCCGGGGATGGTGTTTGTGGATGGCACAGGAAAAAGAAATACTATTAAAATCATAAAATGGTGTGGGTAGGAAGGGACCTTAAAGCCCCCCCAGTGCCACCCCCTGCCCTGGGCAGGGACACCTCCCACCACACCAGGTTGCTCCAAGCCCCCTCCAACCTGCCCTTGAACCCCTCCAGGGATGGGGCAGCCACAGCTTCTCGGGCCAACCTGGGCCAGGCTCTCACCACCCTCCCACCAAACAAGTTCTTCCCCACAGCTCAGCTCCATCTCCCCTCTTGCAGTGGCCAACCCTTCCCCCTCCTCCTAGGGCTCCCCTCCCTCAGCCAGAGTCCCTCCCCAGCTTTCCTGGAGCCCCCCTTCTTGAGGGACTGGCAGGGGCTCCAAGGTCTCCCTGGAGCCTTCTCCTCTCCAGGCTGAACAACCCAAATAATCATATGTAGCTCATATTTATCTCAATTCTCTATTTCCCAAAGGGTGAGAGGGAACCTCCTGGCCAGAGAAGCTCCTCCAGCGTCACTCAGCCCCTTCCCCTCTCCCTTTGGCACTCGGTGATTATTCCTGCAGCACTTTTTTTTCCAGAAAGCATGTATCCAGGGAGGAGGACCGTGCTCCAGCTTCTCCCTGCAGCTCCTGCTGCTCGGCAGGAGAGCGCGCCAGCGAGGAAGAGGAGCTGTTACCTTCTTGAAAGAGCTGTTTGGCGTAAGATGGCTCTCTGCCCTGAGGCTGGAAGAAAGCGTAGATGCATTTCCGCACCAGATCCTCCCAGCCCGTCCTGCCGGCGGCTCTCAGGGAACTGGTGTCGATGGAGATGATTTTACCTGGGTAGAAAGAGACAAGCCACGTTACTCAAACACAGCCCGAGAGGTCCCTCGGCACAAAGAGGTCCATAAATGCAAAAAAATGAAGCCACGTCCTATTTGGCAGCAGACAGAAGGGTCAGAAGCACGCAAGGATGTCCTCCAGAAGGAGGTGGAGGTTCAAGGAGTTTGCTCTGGAGCACACACAGATCTCTCCACATGCCTTGGCCAGCCAAATGAAGACACAAAACCCAACAAGAAGTATCTTCTCACTGCTCCAAGGCTGGGGTCCCCAGATTCACACCCTCATCTGGTGGGACACCCTGCCAGCCACCTTGCCCACACCAAGGGGTGCTGCAAGCAGGACCTGCTGCCTGCTTTCTCCCTCAATATCAAACACCAGGCAGCTCTGCTGGCCCTTTTACAGCCACGGGGCAGGGAGTGGTGAGCAGAGAAAACATTCCTCAAGGCTCTTCAGGCTGCAGGGAAGTCCAGGGTGATGATTAACTACCAGGAAGAAGGTCACCAGCATGCCTAGAAAGCAGTATTTGGCCAAGAGCAAACACGAATCCGAAAGTTGATGACTCTCTCATTCCCACCCAGCAGCAAGCTCAACAGCACCCCAAAGCTCAAGGGAGAAGAGGGGCTGCATGAAGAGCGTGGGTCTGGTGAACTGGACCAAACTCAGTTGAGGTGGCTCCAGTTGAGGTGTCACCATACATCGCTCCTAGCAGGCAGCGCTGCCCTTTGTGAGGACAGGACCACGCTCACTCCATGGGGTCCTGCACCCCACGGCTGGCCTTCTGACCCTCGGGGACAACAAATCCTCTGGAGCCAGGACTCCCCAGCATCACTGGGACATTACCTGTGGTGTCTTGCTTGGTCACGAAGGATTCGGAAGGGGTGACGGCCGCCGGTCGAGGTAATCGTCTCGCAATGCATATCAGGCAGGACTGGAAATCTGCCAAGGCAGGAGAAGGGACCAGGAACATGAAAATCAGATGTTACAGCCACCACTCGCAACGCCACATTTTAATTAAAATGCCACTCCCGAGCTTGATTGCCACGTCCTGCCCTGGAAGTGTTTACCCCGAGCGATCCTCCGGCCCTTCAAAGCCAGCAGGCTCTATCTAAATTCCATAAAGTTTGCTGGAAAAGAGGTTTCCAGCGCTTGGAGAAATTAATTGTACAAGCTTTTTGGACCTGGCAGGATTGTACAATAAAAGTCAGCACTAAAAGCCAGCAACTGTCGCCTTCAGGCAAAGTATTTGGTCATAAAATACCATAATTTATTCCTTCCAGTCATGATCTCCTGTGTAAACCGCAACGGATTAATCCAGCTAATGCGCTGGAAAATAATAGCTGGGACACTGAAAGGAGAGTCAGGGCAAAGCAGGAGAGCAACAGCCCCCGTGGTGCTGAGGGAACCCTTCCCATCTCCAGTCCCCCGACAGAGATTTGCCCACAGGCAGCTGATTCAGCCCCAAAACCTGTGGTGAAGGCAGAAGGTGGTGTGTCGGGCACCCAGGTCACTCTCTGGGAAGGCAGCCCAGAGGCCAGAGAAGCCAGGATGGATGGAGGGCACCAGCTCAGAGGGGAAGTCCAGTCCCCAAGTAGTCCTCCTGCCTGCCCTGACCACCCTGGTTCCACTCCTGCCTGCACTGCCATTGCATGGTGGTTCAGGTGGGAAGGGACCATCCAGTGCCACCCTCTGCCCTGGGCAGGGACACCTCCCACCACACCAGGTTGCTCCAAGCCCCCTCCAACCTGCCCTTCAACCCCTCCAACCCTTCCCCCTCCTCCTAGGGCTCCCCTCCCTCAGCCAGAGTCCCTCCCCAGCTTTCCTGGAGCCCCCCTTCTTGAGGGACTGGAAGGGGCTCCAAGGTCTCCCCGGAGCCTTCTCTTCTCCAGGCTGACCCCCCCAACTCTCTCAGCCCCCCCTCCCAGCAGAGGGGCTCCAGCCCTCCCAGCATCTCCATGGCCTCCTCTGGCTCCATCCAACATCTCCATGTCCTTCCTGCGTCCATCCTGCTCCTCCTGCCTGCACTGCCAGTCCCACCCCAGTCCTCCTCCTGTCCACGCTGTGGTCCCCACCCCGAAGGCAGAGGATGCTCTCACTTACCTTCTCCTTCCTCCTTGAAGGACTTGGGCTGGGAGACAGTGAAGCACTGCATCACCTCGTAGCGCTGACGAGCCTCCTGGTTCTCCGCGCCGGGCTCGTCAGGCGGCCGGATGAGCATCCTGCAGCTGAAGGTATGGCTGTTGCGCCTGGTCGCTTCTTGAGGCCAAGGAACTCCATTTACTGGGAGAAAAAGAAGAGACGAGTTATTAGACCCCCATGGCCCAGAACCAGGGTGCCAGCCAGGCCCTAAGAGCATGTCATCATTGGGAGTCATCACCCTGACATTCATGAACTGCTCCACACATGGCTGCTGGTGCCATCATCTCCACCTTATGGGCAGGGAAACTGAGGCACGGGCTCTGTGAGTCACTTCCAGAGCTTGGGAAGCCTCCTGCCTCCTGCTGTTGTACTTGAAATCTCTCCAAAGCGATGCTCCTGGGACTTTTCCACCAAGTCCAGCTGAGCATCTCCACAGAAATGATTTTTTTCTTTGCTTCCTCCCCATTTCTGGGGCAAATTGGCAACAAGACCTTCTGGTACTATGGCAGCAAAACCCTTCCCCTTTAGATTTTTTTCTATAACCTGGCTTTTCCAAAAACCTCAGGGCACCAGCTGAAAGACTTTGCTAACCCCCTGCAACATCTCCATGGGTATCTGTATTCAACCCAAGTGATTTTGCCACCAGCAGGTTATCAAGTTTTCATGCAACCTGATCTACCAGAAGAGCCAAAGGGCTTGTAACATCTGAAGAAAGACAAAATACACAGCCTTAAACTGGGTAACTACAGGGAAAAGATGATGCCTGAGCCTCTACAGGCTTAATCTGATGAGTGCCCAGAGATTTAGGTGGTTTAAGACCTCATGGTATTTACCCAGAAGGAAGGTAAGTAGGAATTTAAAAAAAAAAACAAAACAAAACAAGAGGCCAAGACTATTTTTAAGTCAGGAAGACCTCATGGTATTTACCCAGAAGGAAGGCAAGAAGGAATTAAAAAAAAAACAAACAAAACAACAAAACAAGACTATTGTTAAGTCAGCCTACTTGGAAAAGGCTCATTTTCCTTTTGTGTTTCCTCAAAGGAAAGTGGAAGAGGGATCAGTGATGTCTCACCCACATCAGCCACCCAGAGGATGCTCATCTCCAGTCAAAGAATAAAACTTTCTGCTTTGGTTGTTCCCATCACCCCAAAAGCGCCTTCACCACGTGATGTGTCCTCCCACCCTCACAAGTGCTCCTTGTCCTGGTGTAGGAGACCACCATGAGCTCACTGCTCATGCTATGACCTTCTCACACCCCAAGGTGCAGCACATCTCACCTACTTGGGCTCTGAAACCAGCTGGGGACAACCCCCTCTCCAGCTGGGAGGATCCTAAATGGCCTGGGATAAGCCAATAGGCTCGTTTTCCCCAAATCAACACCTCAAAATCCTTCTCCTCATTTCCCTAAAGCTCCTACAGGTGCCCCTCGCTTCGGGCAGACGAGTCTGTTCTTCCCACCCATGAGCCACAAGATTTCTTGGTAGAGGAAGACAAAGGGAAGATGACTTTGAATATTGCCATCCCTCAGCTATTTATTCCAAAATCTAATATTGATTTTCACTGGTAGGATGTATTTCACTGGGCAAAGATTTATGGGTCGCTACCTGGCTTGGGTATATCTCTGAATTTTACAGTAAACAATATTTTAAACAAAAATAAATATAAAAAATGTAAGGCCAGCAATACAGGAGACACAACAGCATTTTCGACAGCGCTCTCCAAGCAGCAGCTGATTAAAAAACCCACCTCAAGGCTTTTCTTACCCAGAGACTTTGGCAACAAGTTCTTGACGAACTCGGCGTGATCCCCCACGTGCAGGATGCTGTAGACACTGGTGTTCATGAGCTCCTCCTGGTTATAACCCAGGTAACTGGTCACGTTCTCGGACACGAAGACGATCCTCCCTTCACGGTTCACGACGAAGAAGAAGCCATCCAAGGCCTGGAAGGGGGACAAACCCAGGCAGCGTGTGGGCAGCAGGTCCTGGAGGTGGCCAAGATGTTCCTTGACCATGGACAACCTTCCTCTGCCTCTCACACCTTGGCTTCATCTTCACTTTTTATTACAGCAATGATCAAATAACAGCGTATTTGCTCAAAACATATATTCAGGTCTCCAACCTCCTCTGCTAAGGACATCCCTGGCACCAAAAATGGTGCTGGTGGAGGAGAAAATCCTCTTCCATGGGCCAGAGCAGGCAGGAAGGCTCTAATTTGGCAAGGCACCCAAATTAAGCATATGCCCGATTTGCTTAATTACAGCCCAAGAATGACAGAGCTTTTTCCTCGTGCAGAGTAACAGGGTGTTTTTTTTTCACTCATTTAAGGATGCAAGTGGCAAATTCCACCCTGCAGTTGGAAGGAGGAGGGTAAGCATGACCCAGACCCAACCATACAACATCTTCTGCATATTTAACGAGGACACCATCAAGGTTTTTAATTCCCTGCCACGGTCTGGGTGGTAAATACTTTCTGGTGCCATGAAATAAGCTTGAAGAAGAAGAGCCCAGTGCAGCGAGGAGCCCTTGCGGAGGCCCATTGGGTTGGAGGTTGGAGGAGATGATCTCCAGAGGTCCCTTCCAACCTCACATCATTCTGTGATTCTGTGGATCATGATCCTGCAACTAGATCTGGACATATCCTGGAGCAGGAGATGGTTCAGGGACAGAAGAAACTTGTGATGCCCCACAACTGGTACCCGCAGCATCACCCTCTCCTCCCCGTCCTCCTGCTTTGCTGGTGCCAGCAGAGAGTTCCTCTGATGGAGAGCGTCCAGGCCTTATTTAATGCAGTTTCTAAAAATCAGGTTTTGCCGTGGAGCAACATTAAGTGCGAGAAACAGGAAACATTTAAAAAAGAAAAAAAAAAAAGGGGGGGGGGGTGTGAAGAAAGAAATCTTTTGTCAAAATGGTGCTGGCAGATCGGCTGCAATTTTCCTGATTCCCAGCCGTTGCCAAGACAACCAGCTTTTGCACTTCGGGTGCCCAAAAAAAAGAGAGCCAGGCTGGATGGTAAACCCACCTTGGGCCCTTCTCTCCAGGAGATGCTGGTTTTGGGGGTCGGGGGGAGCAGGGAAGGGGTAGGGGAGCTGTGGGGTGGCAACCACTGGGGACCCAGCTTACACACCCCCTCCTATACCCCCCATTGCCCCAGCAGCTACACTGGGCATCTCTCCATGGTTTAAAATATTTAATTACCTTATCAGCTCAATTGCTTATGGAAGCCAGGCTCAAACAACAGGTCAAGAGGCAAAAAGACTTCCTAAATATGAACGAGATGCTTTTTAATAGCCCTTTTGATCTCCACCTTTCCGGGTTTGGAAACCCCGACGGAGCCCAGGGCACCCAGAAGAAGCTGGAAGTCATTTGGGGAATGTTTTCAGGCACGGGAGGCTGCGAATCACTTGGGGACCAGTAAAACCACTAATTGCTTCTCGCAGTCAATCCCTGTGGAAAATAAAGTCGGCATGGGGAGGGCTTGGCATCCTCCAAGTGCTTCCTGCAGCCAAAGATTGGCCATAGCAGGGGGCAGGGGCAGCACCTCGGGCTTCGAAGGCGAGAAGACCAATTAGGAAATTATTCCTCAGTCTGTATAGATAACAGCCCTAATCTAAACATGGCTTTTAAATCAAATAATAGAGGGTAGGTTGTTTACAAAGAGGCACCGACCCAGCAGTAAGGGAGCTCTGTGTGCCTTCCCGCAGAAAGGATGCGTCCATACCCAACCCAAGCACGGAGGGTGATTTAATATGTGGATTTATGGTGGATTTATGGACCCTGCTCTCTCTCACCGTTTTCTTTCCTCTGCCCCTGCTCCCATAGGGTGCCTTCTCCCAGTAAAACCCAAATACCGGGTTTTTGTTGAGGATCTGCCGCCTTCTCCTGCCTCACTTTACATTCCTGTTTCACGCCTGATGGTTGATGGTTGGACTTGATGGTCTGAAAGGTCCCTTCCAACCTAGACAGTTCTATGATTCTATGATTCTAGCACCCAACTCACCCCTTGAAACCCACAGGCCTTTCCCAGCCTCATTATCCTGCTCCTTCTGCATTTTTCCCTCTGTCAGACTTCATCAGCCAAGCTGCCAACTGCCCATTAACTCCATCCAGGTGCCTCCAGCCCCCATTTTCCATTGAGTTTCCACAAGTCAGACCCTTCCTTTGACACCAACTCCCTTCCCATCCCTTTTGCATCAGCTCCACCACCCCCAGGGTCACCTCTTGGGGAGTTTTATTAATTTTTGATGCCTTTACTCCAGGGCTTAGAAGTAGGGATGTGGTAGGAGGAGGGATCAAACAGGTCTGGGAAAGCACACAGTGCAGGAGAGCTCCCCAGTGTCTCCCAGTATCTTCTGGAGATATGGAAGAGGCCAAAAACGTGGGCAGGGAAAGTCTCTCTCCCCAGGAATCCTGAAACCCGGGCTGGCTTTGCATCTCAAAAATGATGCCACGTTTCACCCTCCCAGCTCTTGGGCTCCCAACAGAAACCACGGGGTAAATCACCCAACTGTGTCATGTCAGTAATTACGCTCCTACAGTTAATTAAGTGAATCAGATGAGGATGTTGCTTCATTATTGGTCTTTGAATGTGTAATCTTATCAGGCGGTTTGAAGGCGGGAAGGCGGAGCTGGCCATTCCCAGGGAGCAACCCCCCCCAGCCCCAAACTCCCCCCTGGGAAATTACCAGGGGAACGATTTAGGATTTGAAGCTTCTCCCTGGAGCCTGTGATATAAAATAATAACCCTCGTAAAATTATTAAATTTTCAATACAAGATGGTCCCGTCGGCTCCGATTCTGACCCTAGATAGGATGATTTCTGATTTACTGCTACCAACCAAGGTGCAGAGAGCCCTCCTCATCCTCCCTATTTTCCAGAGGACGGAAGGATTCAAATCTCTTGAAAACCATCCATCCACATCACTTAATTCACCTCCAAATGAGCCTGGGAGCTCAGTTTAATCCACATTTAGAAGCAGCTTGATATTTTAATGCTGATATTAAGAAATTACCCAGAACAGCTTCATCATAACCAAACCCAAGCTCCATCCATCCTGGTTAAGACCCATTTCCCAACCATTTGCTGCAGCGAAGGGCTTAAAATCAGTTCAGCATCAACTTAGGGATGCAGCTGGGTTTAGAGCATCCCAACTCTGTCCCTGCTGCCTTCCTTCTCCGTGTTTCCCCTTCTGGGAGCCCTGCTTTGCTTTGGGCAGGAGCGGGGGCCCGGCAGCACCAGCCAGAACATCTCAGCACCTACCTCCAGCAGAAGAGGTCCCAGAGATTCCTTCTCGATCACCCCTTGGCTGCTGGACGAGATGTCAGACTTCTGGACTTCATCATCAGCTGCTTTCTCTGTGGCAAAAGAAAAGGGACGTTTCAGTGAAAAAAAACACCTTCATTTTACTACTGAATTATTACCAATAATAAAGAACACACTGATCGCTTGTCATACAGACAATGCAGCAAAAAACTCCAGCGTTTTCATTTCATCCCTCAGTCCCGTGGAGATATAATGTAATTTCTACTCATTTATTAATTATTATAAAATAAAAGCACTAATTAGATCACAACCTACTGCTAGCAGGAAGGCAAAAACCTGTCTTAAGCCAAAGCCGGCAGAAAGAGGCCTCCAAAATCAACATTTTGGAAAAGAAACGGCAGATCCAGTTCAGCGCAAGGAAAAGGAACTTTTCGGATTATGATTTTAAGAAATAACTCCTGAGAGGAATTCAGGGGGAACGGGCCCTGCTGAAGGAATCCTGTCGGAGAAAAGCCAGCAGCTCCTACTGCTGATGTGCAGGTAGAGCATCAACCCGGAGCCGGCAGGGATGGAGATGGGAGAAGAGATGATTCAAGGATTGGAGCATCTCCCTTATGAGGAGAGACTGAGAGAGCTGGGACTCTTTAGTCTGGAGAAGAGAAGGCTGAGGGGAGACCTTATCAATGCCTACAAGTATCTCAAGGGAGGGTTGAAGGAGGAGGGAGCCAGACTCTTTTCAGTGGTTCCCAGTGAGAGGACGAGGGGCAACGGGCACAAGTTGGAACAGAAGAGGTTCCACTCAAATATGAGGAGAAACTTCTTCACAGTGAGGGTGACAGAGCCCTGGAACAGGCTGCCCAGGGAGGTTGTGGAGTCCCCTTCCTTGGAG